CGATGGAATCAACTCTTTTTTTCATAACGCTACAAAAATTAATGAAACCTCGTTGAATGTGGACGAGATAAATTTTGAAAATCCTGATTGTTCCTGGACTGGAAAAATTTTAGAAGATTGCATACTCGATCGAATTTTAAATCGCTCGAAAAACTTTGATTTTAACAAACAAGCCAACTTGAATTGTAGTGATTGTTCTAAATTCGTTGATGTATTTGGCTGCCCTGATGTAAAGAAATACGAAAAATTAGAAAACGAAAACATCTGGCAAATACAGCAATGGACAGAAGAGTACAGTTACTGGATGAAAGGACTACCTTTTGCAATCCAGTGTTTGTCAATATTAGCTGGATTAGCCATTCTTGTTGTTGTAGCAAAACTGAAAAAAAATAAAGTAGTTAAGACTGAGGTTATGACATTTTAGTCTATTTTTAATAATATATCTTTATTTAGGTCATGAAAGTCAGCATTTGGATTTTGCTCGAATTTTCAGTTGTCGGAGCTTTGTTAATACACGTTTCGGTAAAAGAGATTTAATAAAAATTTATTACAAAAATAATATACTAACGATTGTCTTTTATGTAGGTTATATTAGACTATTTTGAAGCGACCCCAATCATTTGCTTAATGATTCCTTGGTGCCGAGAAATTGGATTTGTACTACTGTATGGTTCTTTAATTCTCAAAATTCAACGGTTATTTTAAATAATTTTTTTAATATACAACCTTTGAAAGTATTTTTTAAAAATTTTGTCGATTTTAAATTCAGAACTTTAACAGAATTTCAATCAAGAAAAGCTCACAGAGTACAATGGCCAGATAAGGACTTGATACGTTGCCTAATAATCATGGCTACAATTTTAGCTCTACACATGGCCGCATGGACCGCTTCAGTATGTGATAACTTGTCATTTGCACAACTAGCAGAAGATATCCGTATAGACATTAAAAAACCATTTTCTTCCTTTTCTATGTTATGCAGAAAGTGCTATTTTTCGATAAAAGACAGAATTTTGGAAGGAGGTACTCATTTTTAATGTATTTGTTGACTAATCATTTAAATAAATTATTTTCAATATATGGCATGCATATGATAGTTTTTTCCAAAAAGTTTTATTCAACACAGGTGAGTTGGTATTCTTAGGTTACTCGCTGTACATGTGTTACAAAGTGAGGAAGGCACCGAACGAGTATCATGAAAATAAATTCATCACATTTTGCATCTTAAACGAACTTCTTACATCTGCTTTATATTACTCGATAAGGTAAAAAATTAAATACTCTAATTATCACACTCAACAAAACACACATACACATAAAAATAATAAATAAATAAATATCGAGAAATAAATTTATTGATGTCAGTAGCATAACAATTAGCAGCTTTGAAGATGACGGATCGTAGAGAGGCGTTTCTGCAGTGACTTCGGTTTTGAAGTACTGGTCTCACAAAAAGTTGTTGAGAGGTTTGAAAAAATGGTAATTTGTTAGTGCATAGTCTTGTAAATATAGTGAATGAAGCAGAATCTCGTGGCAATTCATCGCGTTTATTTATATGTGTGACCAGATTTTAAAAATATGATGAATTAATTCGGCTGCAGACCACCAAACTGCCACCATTAAACTCCTCTTGTACAGTTTTAGAAAGTGTTTTGGGCTCTCACCTCGGTACAGTTACTGGTTGAATGTCGCCTGTTGCACATAAGAACTATGTTTTATTATAGATCATAATCCATTTAAAAAAAACCGGTTGCTTTATTGCGCAAAATAATTTTGTCACACATCTCAAAACGACGAAGTTTCTGATTTTCCCATTCAACTCAAGCGGCATCCATTTATGAAGCTATTTAATTTGATTCCACCAATTACTACTGTTGGGTAGTTGAACTTGAGTTCTTTAGCAATTTCTCGAATAGTTTCAGCTAGGTTAGCTTCAATAATTGCCTTCAGTTTATCATCAGACGTTGTCGACCCCTCTCTATCCTCGAGACTCATATCACCAGCACGAAATATTTTAAGCTAAATTTGTATCAGCTACGTTATGCCAAATTTCAAACTTATGAAACGAAATATTGATGACATTTTAAAATATTGATGAAAAACTTACACAGTGAAATATTTAACTAAATATTTAATATAAACTAGATAGAAGGAAAAATAACTTTTACTACGATATATAATTATCAATATATCCGCTTTGTGTCGAAAAATAAGTAATGCAAAACCGACATTTTTTTCGCACCAACCTAGTGTGTTGATTTACGTAAATTTTTAACTTTTTTGAAGGTACTTCGCTGGTAGTACGTGGCTCCCCGATCAAATATTTCTAGCCAGTTTCATAAAGTGTCACCTAACAGTAACTTTGGCCATCATCCTTGTAGTCTGCTCAAAAGTAGGCTCATGTTTATTTATCTTTTGCATTAGTGGTTTATGAGTTGATGAATGAAAATTAAAAGTTGTGAATTGAAAATTAAAAGTTGTGGTACAGTTGTTGGCCTCCTTCGGCCGAATACAGAACAAGAAGCTGCTCATCTGCCCCTTCTGTTGATTCGAGGTCAGTTCAATTTCTCAATCCATCATCACCTCCTCCCTCTTCACCACCAGTCCAGTTCGAACCAACTAAATCAGATTCAAACAATTTGGACGAAACTGACATCAGTCAGATGACTTCAGAAGATATAAGGGTAAACTTCTTTTAACACCATTAATTATAATAAATAAACTCATTGTAATATAACTTTTTTTGCAGTACGAACTTCGAAAATTGTACACACAACTTCAAATTTACAAAACAAAAACAATGCGACTTGATAACCCCCATATTTCAAGAAGACGTGGTGGTAAAAAACAACCAAATCGAAAGTTCAGTTTTCAAAACCTGCACGCCAAATACAGACAGCAGAGTTCGGTAACGTCAACAAACGCTGCAGCGACAACACCGAGTGGTAGTGTTGGAGGGGGAACGTCGATGGCAGGCGACCACTGCGAAAACTCAACAGTGACTGGTGGGGGAGAAATTGACTTGTCCGTTCGATCGCCAGAAGATTCGTCCAACAGCATGGAAGGTGTGTCCGTCTACATGGACGAGAATAGTTACGCCAGTCCGGAAATTAACACTTCCTCTGGAAAAGATTGCTATGCAGCTAAAAAACAGCAGAACGCTTTTAAATCTATATTGACGGCCGCGCGAAATAAAACGAAGCATACAAATTGATTTCAAATTATTTTGTATCTCTTTTACAATTTGCAGTTCTTATGTTTGTTTCGTTCAATATTTTATCTATATTTTCTTCGTCCAACTTAATTCTGAGTTTAACAAAATAGACGTAGACATTACAAAAACGTTCAAAATTTACTAATAACATCAATCAATCAATCAATCAATCAATCAATCAATCAATCAATCAATCAATCAATCAATCAATCAATCAATCAATCAATCAATCAATCAATTAGCTTATAAAGCGCTATCTCCGCGATCAAGGCCCAAATTTATTTTTATTGAAATATTTAGCAATTAGATTTTCTATAAAGAATTGATAGCTAACGCTTTGGGAGTTAGGCATGTGTTTTAAAGTTGAAATCACATTATTTAGAATCACATTACTTAGAAATCACAGAAAAAAGTTAAACCTTAAATTAACAAACCATGAAGAATGTTGAAAATTATAGGATCAAGCACATTTTGTCACATTGAGCCACATAATGACATACAAGAATGTTCAAATAGTACTTAAAATTGCATACATAATGAACAAAGTGAAACATAAAAATTATTATCAAGAACAATAATTAAATTTTTTATTGGTGGATGAGAAAAAACAAAATGTAAAACTGATTGTATGTTAGACTGTTGAATGTTCTACATGAATGCATGATTTTCATAAAAATTAGAAAAGTATAAAAGAACAAATATGTAACATTAAATACAAAATAAATTAATACATGATGTGGTTTCCATGCCAAATAATTAAGAAATAAAAATGAAGATTAATAAAATTTGAGGCGAAAAGCTAGGCAAGTTATAATTGATGATACTATAAAGCTCATTACATCATTGCAGAGACTACATAATAGCGTACAAATGTTAATAAGAATAACATTAATCAAAAACTTGTACATTTACTAAATAATAGAAAAGCAATTAGGATAGCATCTTACAACGTATTGGAACAAAATTTTGATCATTAATATAGTTTTATTTTAATAGTAACTAACACCCAATGAGCTAATTTTATTGAATATAACAATAAAATAGTCAATTTAATGAAGAATTCACTTCTCATTCCATGGGAATGCCTGTCCAGGCTGATGTTTGTGGACCACTTCTCTTCCATTAAGGGAGATAATGTCACCGGTTTCTGCATCCAAGAATATCAGGGTAGGGATGCCTCTGACATCGAACGTCTTACTCAGTTTCTCCTGTGTGCAGCATTTGTATTCATTAGATTTAAATCATTTAAAATTGGTTAGAATTAGATTATTTGATGACAAGCCCGCTATTTCACCAAACTCACAAAACCTTTTTAATTTTATTATCTCCATTTATCACCTTTCCAAATAATGTGTCATTTATAAAGCAAGTAACATTTAAATTGCAAAACCAACTCAAAGTTTGCTTACCTTCATTGCTCTATCTTCATACGGCAGTGCAATCCAAGGCATTTCACTGAAGTACTCCTGCCATTGAGTCACATCCTGATCCGAAGAAATAAATATTATTTCCAGTTTTTCACTGGATTTGTACGTGTTATAGAAAGTTTTCAACATTGGTGTGAACATGCGGCAAGGAGGACACCAATGTGCTGAGAAATACAATCCTGTAGAAAATTTTTACAAAGTACAAAAAGTAATAAATTTACAATCCTATCAAAAGATTTGGCAATAAGTTAAAATTTTGTAACAAGTCTTTGGTATCTAGTAGCATTTTTATCATCTTTATTCAATATACAACAATCAAAGCTTGAGGTAAAACAATCGTTAGCAAGTTATATATGAAGGCAACCATAAATTCAAACAAAATTATTTAAAAAATTATCTATCAATTATAATTTTTTGACACAAATGTTACAAATTAATTAGTTAATGAATGCAAGCAAAACAATTATTGTAAGTTATAACAAACCAATAACTTTAGAAGATTCAACAACTGAACTTGTGGAAATCTTCTGCTTCTTGCCATCAACCAACTCTTTGCCAAGTAAGCTTACAATATCACTCATGGTCAGTTCAGTTATGCTGATGATTCAGACTGATCAAACAAAACTAAAGAAAACCTACTCCAAATAAAAATTAATAAATAAATATGCCGTATTTATAATAAAAATTATAAATGTTTTATAACACAAATTATTATCAAGATGTTATTTATTGAAGGGAAGTTTTCGGACAAGTCAAGAGTAACATTTTTCAGCTTATGCCTAACGATAACATTAGTACATTCTTTTACACATTTTAAATTCACCTATCTATCTATAGTATTAGTATAAAATAAAACTATAAACAACTAATAACATAACTGATAACACATCTCACATAACAAGTAAAGAAATAACTCTCTACTCCATTTTCCCGAGATTTAGCTGATGCACAATATTATTAGGATGAAAAATTTTGCCAAAATGTCCAAAATTACTAAAAAAAAAATAAGAAAAGACTAACACCCTTGTTCAATATCTGAAGAACAGTGAAGAATGATTAAAATCCAGCTGATGCACAACAATATTGTACCCGGCTTGGCAACAGCTATACAAAAACACTCGTGTATTCATGCATGTTTGCATACAATACAATACAATATGCACATATAACACATAGCCATTTGAAAAAAATTTACATAAAATATACATTGCATTTAATATTTATATTTCATATACTATCAATATATTGTTATATATAATTACATAAACATATAAACATACATATTTAAATAAAACATTTATTACACATATATAAACACAAATCCTAATAATCTTATCTACGGATTATAACGATCATCGTATTATTCACATTCATGCACGGCATATACTCATACACGCCATCATACACCTGTGTTTGCTGGGGACCTTTTGCTTTGGTGAATTCAAGTCAAAAAATTTTTGCTTTTTGTGTTGAGCATTGAATAAAATACCGTGGTGGCGAGTGAGTACTTTCTGGCGCTCAATAATGAGTGAGTACATTCTGTTGAGTGCTGTTCGAAAATTTAATAAAATACCATGGTCGTAAGTACCTTTTGAATAAAATACCATGGTCATGACTAAGTACCTTTTGAATAAAATACCATGGTCATGAGAATGTACCGTTTGAATAAAATACCATGGTCATGAGTAAGTACCGTTCAAATAAAATATCATGGTCGTGAGTGCTTTTTGGCAATATGCTTATACGCCATTACGCATCTGCATATTAGTAAGTTAAGTACCTTTGTTCTGTTGCATTCAAAAAAAAATAAATTGTTGCCTTTGATATCGACCAGAGTCATGAGTGAGCAATAATAACGTCATGTCATGTATGGTACCAATAAATTTTCAAGATATTATTTAGGCAAGCTGTAAGTATTTAAGCTACGCGAAATTACTAATATAAGCCCATAAGCTTACCAAGCTGTTAACATTCTAAGTACATATGTGGTTATGATGAATTAAATGGGAAATAATTGCCAAGAGTTTTTTAATGCATAATATGTATTTTTTTGTAGATGTTTGTGCGCTTTGTTGAATCCTATGAGCTTTGGAAGAGTGTAATTGACCTTTAACCTTTATGTTATGCTTTGTACTATTTTTCAATTATTACTAAAATTTGGAATTTTTTACATCTTCTAAACTACATTCTTTTTTCACGTTATGACATAATGAATATTGATGGAGACATTCATTATGTACGTTTTTGAAACATAACTGGGATGAAAAAACTAGTGAAACAGAGCAAACACCAAACTTTTCTCATCTGTACTAGCATGTGATCTAGACCTGTAGATAAATATTCTAGATATTCAAAAATGAATCTAAATATTCTAAGTATATAATAGATCCTAAATATAAGGATTATCATTCAAAGTATATGGATGGGTAGATCCTCACACTTATTTCCATTTCCATATTCTTATTTCAATCTTTATAAACTAATAACAGCTCATTCCATATCTTTGGATAAGTTAACGTAACTATCGTTTGATTATTTGTAAACAAATCGTTGAGGTGTTTGTTTTACTTAATGATTTCCAGATAACATCAAGTTGTACAACAAATAGCTTAAAAACGTATTATTATTTTACTAATTTGTTCAAATTTTAAGCTGTTTATTGATATTTAGTCAAAGTTATATTCTCGTATTCTGCTACCCTACAAGAAGAAGGGAAAGAAAAGAGAAGAGAACTGAGGAATTTCACTATTTCCAATCTTATGTTTTCATGGTTTCCATTGTTTCGCAACTTGAAAATGCCTCTTAACTACAGCACTTCTATCGTCATGGACAAAGGCCTGTCGAATTACTTCGGACACAACAACTGCTTCCTCAATAGCGCAGTCCAGGTGTTAATTTTAATTTAAATTATTTTCTTATTTAAAATTTATGACAAAATAAATATCAATGAACAGCTTAAAATATTCAATTAAACTTAAAAAATTAATTAAAAAATAAAAAATATTTTTTATTTATAAACTAATAACTGGTCAACTTGTGTAGTTGATCATGACATGTTCGTTTATTTAATTTATTTATACTTTTCTGTTTTGATCAACCATTTGGCTTGCAATTTTTTTATTTTATTTTAGTTTTAATATCTGTCATGGTTATTTATCATTTTATTGTAAATGACATAAAGTCATATGACTCCTAATTGAAATTATTATACATAAATAAGATTAAGAAGTATTAAATTGTCAGACGAGTAACTCTTTTTATTTTATTAATAATTTTAATGATCTCTATTCTATTCAAATTCAAAGTTTTTTGCCATTGATAATAAAATATCTATGTTCTTTCATAAGCAGAAAATAATATATATTTTTTAGAACTTATCATACTTGTATATTTCACATTATTTTAAAGAATTATTTCATTTTAATATCTGTCTTTGTCTAGTATTTTTTTTTTAGAAAAAGCTTATCTAAGAACAGAAATCACTGTGTGAACACCACATAGACATATTTTTTCGTAATTTATAACTATTATTAATCTACCTAACTTTAACTTTTTTCAGGTATTTTGGCACTTGCAAGTTTTTAGAAAAAATTTCCTTGCAATGAGAAACCACGATTGCGTTGAAGGATCATGCATCTATTGTGCCTTGCAGGTTTTTGCTACTTACAGAGTTTTTGATTATATACTCTTTGTTTGTTTACATTGAAAAAAATTATTTTGTCTTAGTTCGTTTTTTAACATTTAAGATGAAATAAATTTTTAGGATATTTTTAGAGAATTTAAAGAAAGTGACGAGAACACATTGAATCCAGACATGTTGCGACTAACGCTGGCATGCTCCTTCCAGGATCAGGATAAGTTCCAGCTGGGACAGTTGGACGATGCTGCTGAGTGCTATGAGAAGATTTTATCCAGAATTCATTTCCATTTGTCTGGCGGTGCCTCCGATGATTTCTGCTCTCTTGGTCACTGCATCACTCATGTGAAATTTGCCATGTCATTAATTCAACAGGTAGGTAGGTAGGTGAATAGGTACGTAGGCAGGTAGGCTCTGTTGTGTGGTTATATTTGTTATTATATTTTTGAGGATTTATGGTGATTAGTTGATTATTCTTTGTTATTGTTTATTTTAATAAAATGACTGACGCATTATTATCTTGGTCCAATCGATTTTCTATCTACATACTTAATTATAAAATTGTTAAACTTTTTATTATAAATTTATTTGGAATTCTTAAAGTTGTTTAGTAGGTTATGACTTGCAATGGTGAATGGCCATTAATTTGTAGGGATTAAATAAAATTAAAATTTCATTTCTTATTAATAAAGTTAGGATTAATAGGTAATAAACATTGATTTTATTATCTTTGAAACAACTTCGTTCTCAAGTTTTTCTTCTAAATTTTTATATCTATGTCAATTGTTGATCATAATTTTTTCTTTTTCAATTTTGACTGCAGACTCTATGTCAATGTAGTGCAACATCAGAACCACTGCCGTACGTTCAGCTGGTTGATTACGTCTCCACTTTATCCATCATGTCTGCCATTGGTTTTTTAAATTGTTTAAAAATTTAGAAAGTTATGTTGTTGACTTAAAAAGATAGTTTTTAAATTTGTTTTTATTTAAATAATTTTGATGTTTTTTTATGTGCAATAATTTTTTTTAGGTATTTTTGTCTGATCTCAAATTTAAGCTAATTTAAATTTAATTTAAAATCTATTTAAAATTTAATTATTTCCATTTAGGCTAATTACACTAACAATAATGATTATATTATTATTTTGATTATCTTTGATACAGAGAGTGCTCAAAGATGATGAAGACAAACGACTTCAGTGAATTGCTGAGATATGCATTCAACTATGAAATGTCAAGCACGTGTCCCGTTAGATTTACACTAAACTTTTGTCTTGTATTTTCTAAGTTATCTTCAGTTGATTCTGTAGTGTTCATTTTATCAGCACCTTCTAATAATTGTATTGTTTTACATGATATCGTTTAAAAAAAAGTGTAACATTAGTCTTGGATATTTGTTTTAAATATTTTATTAAGGTTTTTATTTATGCTTATACAGTGAGGCACGAATTGCTTGCAACCATCATGTAATGTTCTGCTTATAATATGGCCATGCTTAATTATGTTGTAAATTTTTGTTTTAATCCTTGTAAATTATCCAAGCAATGATTAAAATTTATTTGCAGCTAAAGTGTGGACTGAAGAGTAGAACAGTGAGAACCTTGGTGAACTGTCCTGATGTTGTAAGCATTGGATTGATTTGGAACTCCGATCAACCTGATCCAGACCACATCAGAGAGTTTGTATCCACCATTGGAGAGCATGTAACTCTGCATAAGGTATGTACGCACTCTAAGGTTTGTCACTATGTATCTAAGTTTTATTTGATAGACGTTATATATACACATACATATGCATGCCTATACGTGTGTGTGTGTGTGTGTGGGTGTACGTGCATGCGTACGTTTGTTTGTTTGTGTGTGTGTGTGTGTGTGAGTGTATGTGTGTGTGTGCATGTTTGCTCAATTAAGCTATCTCACTTTATATGAGCAGGTAATTTTATGGAACCAACTTCATAAAATGTTACTACGAAATAAACTCTGGTATTTGCTGGTAATGGAAACCTGAATCCTTCATTGAATATTTATGGAATGTTGCTTGATTAAAAATGAGAAATTCATTTAAGATGATGATGAACCATCAAATGTTATAAAATAGTGATAAAAATATTGGTTATATCATCATTATTACTTAAACATGATAATTACTTGTTCATTGGGAATTCCATTTCATCTTAGCTTTTCCTTATTTGTTTTATTGATTCTGGGTTCTCACCTATTATCAGTTATGTGTTTTATTATATTTGTATGTGTTAACTAGTTATTATCTAACGTTCAATACAAGTATAACATAATGTGAAAAATATGTACATGCAGCTGTTTGACGGTGCCACAGGTTTCAACACAACGGAGAGTTCAGTTCGTGAGTTAGTAGGCGTTGTGTGCTACTACTTCAAACATTACTCAACTTTCTTTAAGAGGTCCAAAGATGGAAGGTGGATATCATTTGATGATGCCAGTGTCTCCGAGGTACTTTTCTACATTTTTTTAATTTTTGATTTTCTTTCATATGTTTATGTCTTTCCATTAATGTTTGTTTGTTTGCATAATTTTTTACAAGTTGATTGGTTTATAAGTTTTTTATTTGACAAATTGAATTAATTTATTATTAAATTATCAGATTGGAGATACATGGGATAAAGTGATTGACAAATGCTGCAAGGGCAAGTACCAGCCTCTCCTCCTCATCTACCAAAACAAACAGGCTGAGCTGATCAACACTAAAACCGCTCCTAAAAAAACCTCTTTCATAGTGAAATGTATGTGTGTATGAAATTGATGTTTTGGTTTTTTATTGTTTAATTTTCAAATGTATAGTTCTATGATCACTCTGTTTATTTTATTTTATTTAACGCAAATGACCAGAGGGCATTAACATGCCTTTTACTCAGTCAGAACAAATGAACAATCTCAAATACACATAATAATGGCGGAAAAGAAAAAATAATGTAACATTTGTTGTTTTGCAAACATTGTAGGTTCTATCCGTCTTTTTACAGTTTTTTGAGCCTCCTTATACATAAAGCAGTTGTTTGGTTTATGGACAACGCTATATAATAAAGTGTCATCGTCATCAGATGTTTCTTCCTCACTTTCCTCTTCTACCGACTTCTCCTCTTTATCATATTGAAGTTCGATGTCACTCAAAATATCAACAACTATAGAAATATAGTAGCTTTAGTGAATCCTCTTTGAATACCTTCGATCTTGGTTAACTGATATTTATAATGAGGATTCGAGACAGGCGAATAATTTTTTTTTCCAAGAGAGGGAGAACTTACGTACAATAAGCTTCAGTGAGTAGTTCTTTGTCTCAAGACTTGAAACATTTAATGATGCTGGTGTAGTTAGTTGGTTAATAGAACGGACGCAAGGACGGGGTTGAGTGGTGGTATTGAAAGAGTGGAAAGCTTTGTTTACTTAGGGGATAAGCTGAACGCGGATGAAGGATGTTTGAGCGCAGTTACGGCTAGAGTTTTTGTGGGATGGATGAAATTTAGGGAACTGGGTGGAGTATTGTGTGGAAAGAAATGGTCAGTGAAGATGAAAGGAAGGGTATATAAAGCATGTGTGAGAGCAGCGATGGTATATGGTGGTGAAACTTGGGTGTTGAGGAGAGAGGAGGAAAGTGTACTGCAGAGGGCTGAAAGAGCTATGGTGAGGATGATGTGTGGGGCTAAAGTGAAGGATAGGAGGAGTAGTACAGAGCTGATGTCGATGATGGGACTGAATGAGGACATTGTGACATTGATAAGGAGATCGAGATTGCGGTGGTATGGACATGTGTTGAGAAGGGATGAAAGGGTCGGGATTAGGCGAGCGTTGGAGTTCGAGGCTGAAGGAGTGGTAGGAAGGGGTCGTCCGCGATTGGGATGGAGAGAGCAGGTGGAGAAGGACAGGGTGAAAGCGGGGTTGCGTGATATTGAGGCGAGTGACAGATGTGGATGGCGTCGAGGGGTATTTCGGTTTCATCATAGGTAGCCAAACGGCAACCCCCGATCTCGGGGAAAATGTCGTCTAAACGTGTGTTGTTGTTTTTGTAGTTAGTTGGTTGGACTTTTTTTATGAACAGGAGTAACGATGACAGTTTTCCATATGGTGGGTAAAAATCCATTTTTAAAAGATTTGTTAAAAATGTGACAGCGGAACAGCTAGGCTTGAAGCACATTTTGAGAAGAACGTTTAGAATACCATCTGGTCCACTTGAATGTGAATTTTTCAAACTTCGAAATGCAAGATATACTACACTGTATGTGGAGTAAAGCCGATATCTTCAGTTGATTTAGTAGTACGGGATGGCAGAAAACAAGATTTTCCATCATCATTTGTGAATACTGACGCAAAATAGTTGTTGAACGTGTTTGCCATCGTCACGGTGTCATAAGATATGCTGCTGTTACCAGTTTTTAAGCAGATAATTTGAGGGTTAGAAAACAATTTGTTGTTGACATAACAATAGAAACTTCTGAAATTAGCTTTTGATCGCAAATTGTTTTCGCTGGTTTTGTGGTAAAAGTTTATTAGACACCACGCCACGAGTTTTGCGGTCTTTTCTAACAAAATTAAAACCAAGAGGTAAAAATAACCTATCAGGATATTTTGGAGAAAGCCACGTTTCGATAACAGAAAAAATGTCAGGATCGCAAATAAATTTAGGCCAGTCCGTTTGTTCTGTAGACTTTTAACATTTGCCAAGGCCATTCGAAGAGGTCGGATCGCCTCCATGCGAATGACAGTTGATTCAAAGGTTTGCTCGTTAGACTTTCTGAATGAGCCAGAGATTTTCTCAAATTTTCATTAGACTTCTCAGTAATTTCAGTTACATTGGAGTTAAACTTTTCAAAAAGTTTGTCGTAATTTTTGTTGGACAGAGTAATTACTTTTCGAGACTTTCATTTGACCTATACATTAGCCTGTCAAAAATTTCATAATATTCTCTTTGGATTTTCATGTACTTTGATCAATATATTCTCGAATGAATCTACAGAAGAACTGTTAGCCATGGTGTAACGATAATACTGGAAAAACGAAATATGACGAAAATGTAAATTTTCCTCTCGAAATTTATTTCGTATTAAGCCAGAACGAGTTTTTTTAATTAGATTTATTAAGTTTTTAGTCGCTAACAATATGTTTTAATACAAAGTCGGAAAATTAATTTTAGAGAAAATTTTTAATTGAACCAATTGGCTTGGAATTTTCTTAAAATTTTATTCATATAACTTATAATAAATTTTTTCAATTAATTTTTTGGAACTTTATAACAAACTTTTCTAAAATATTTTTTCAAATATTTTAACTATCCTATTTTTATATTTAAATTTTATGATCACAGCTTTTGAGTGTTCACAACTCGGCATGAAATCAAGCCGGTTGAGGTCCGGTGATAAATGTTCAACAGATTATAACGAAGTTGATAAAGTAGCTTCAAAAACAAAAATCATTGGAAAAGAAAGAAAGTATGTCGAGAAATTAATTGATTCTGCGGCTGATAACAAGACAATGAACTCCCAATTGCTCTATTCAAACTACAATGCAATAACTTCTGCTGATCGAATGAATTTCTTGTCATCTGATTTGGATTTGAGCATTGGCGATCTAAGATCATCCGACGGTTTGCCTCCCTACTACATAAATTCTTCTTATGGGGGGCTAAACAGTTCTTATGAAAGGGCTGGCTCATTATTACCAGCTTCAACTTTGGCAGTGGGCACTAGTCATTCCAAGGACACTAAAGGTTTGATCAACCAAGTTGATGCCAAAATCGCAAACGATAGGAGGAACAGACTTTTAAAAATTCAACAAAACCAAAAACAGCAGCGAATTTTACCACAGTTTCAACAGCAGCCACACAATCAGTATTACATGGAAGAAAAATATCAACAGCCATCCTCACAACAATTTCATCATAATTATTCGATTGACACCAAAACCCAGACAATGAATAATCCTGTTTATCCAGCACCTTTATTATCGTCCCACCGTTATATTGGAGATTATCCAAATGAAGCAGGCAACCATCACAGTTACACTTTACCACAGCAAAATCAACACTCTCAATACAGTCCACAACCATACCAACCAGATCATCGACATCACTCAAAATTAACTTCCTTTCAGAACCAAAGTAATATCGATGAATCTTTTCAGTATAAATTTTCAGAACCTCCTAATAACGCATCCTTCTTAAAGAAAATCACCGAAAATCTTGGTTCTGATCACTACAATTCAAATAATCGTTTCGACAACAACTTCGGTACTTTTCCGTTTACGAAGAGTTCTTCGAAGAATGTTAGCGACGAGAGTTCCCATACCAGGCGTCCTACAACCGAAGGATGGAGTCGCCACAATCATCTGAACGATAACTTATGTAGCGCCTTTGATAATCTGAACATGAGCACGAGCGTTGACGGCAATAATGATTACATTAATTTCCAGAGAGATGCTTCCCTTAGAGAAAGTCACTTGAAAAACACTAACACCAGTAACAATCACACACACAACAATAACAACAGTTCTTACAATGCAAACTTCAGTAGAAGCATTGCAAGTTCTCTAGGATCCTCGTATGAAAATATATCCTCGGATAAGGATTTTGTTGTTTTATCGCGAGAAGAATTATCAGGTAAAGTTGAGTTTTTTATATATAGTTTTTGTTATCATTAAATACATTTTTATTTTGTTTAAAAAATCATAAATTTGTAAGAGAAACTTTAACTTATTCAAATACAGATTCAAAAAACTTGATGGAGTTCACTGATGACAATAGAAATAAGTTGAATGAGAAAATCAGAGCTCTGTATAAATCGTAATTCTATCCTGTCAAATAAATGTTTTATCAGTTTATTGGTTTTAATTGCTTCTTATAATGTTAACCAAAATAAAGAAAAAACTAATTTAACTCAGTTCAAACTGTTACAATTAAAATCTCTATTTTTGTTTATTTGTTTGTTTATTTGTTTTTTGTTTGTTTATAATTAATTTATTTATTTTATTTATTCAAGAAATAGTGTAACATTTAGCATTGTGAATTGCGAACATTTCAATCACTAGTTCTCATGCTGTCCATTTTAAGCGAAGCGGCAGACAATATTTTATCAGATGAATGTGTTGGACTTTTATGCTTATTGCTATTAATTTTTAGAGATACGTGCATGTTTGTCTGTGTGTGTTTGCGTTTCATTTGTATTAAATGTCCACTGTTAGTTTTACTAAAAATAAAATTGTATTAATTTATTTTGTAGGTAACTTAATTTATAAAATACTCAAAACGAGTTTATATATTTTTTAAACTTTTTGAAAAAGTTTTTCCGGCATTAAATGTATGCTTGGTACCTTAACTATTTCAAAATTTTTGTTTCTCCGGTGTTCATATATTTTTGAAACTCTTTTAAATTCGTTTACCTTATATTCCAAATTACATACTAATAAAAAACTGATTTGTACAATTATCAGCATTTTAAAACACTATTTTTTAATTTTCATATTAACATTTGAATAAGAAATTGTATAATAAATATTTTTACAAGATTTTTTTTAACTTTGTTTTAGGTAAATTAACAATAGATATAGAAACTTTTCAATATCTACGTAACCAACTCGCTACTCATCCGCATATTGTTTGGAAACTTAGTTCGTGCTTCTTTTGCCAGTGCATCTTTCCAGAAAGTAGGAATAATTCAGTTGTTGATTATTTCATTATGTCAGCCTTGTGGGGTCGTGTCACCTTTCCGTCCAATGAGTGTTCAGCCATCGATTTTTATGTGACCACCCAACTATCTTGTGTCAATTCTTCGCTTGTTATTCATTATCTTCCATTGCTTCGATTTTTTATTTTTTCTCCTATCAATTCACTTGGCTTTCTTCTTTTCATCTTTAAAATTTCATACGGCAATGCTTCTTTTGTTGGGTTTTCTTCTTATGTAGGACTGTATGTTTTTCTGAAATCTTTTCTTTAATATTATGCATTTCTTTTCGACACATTTAAAGTCCCAATAAAGGTTAATGGTGTAGATGTTGTACTTATACAATCTTTTGAATCATGTAATTAAGTTTTTAACAGAAAATTTTAAACATTTTTATTTTGTTATTTATTCCGTGTTCTACAAAATTCTTCCACGTTCTTCCTACATAAGAAGTTATAAGACTGGAGCATTAAAGTTCATTAACACATTTTTAAACATAATTGAGCAGTCGTGGTCCGGTATTAATGGATCATATAAATAATCTCACAAGGGTAATCGTGTTCCACTTTTTTACGCATTCTATAAAGCCCTATTGAAATTGCCTTAGAAAAATAATGATAAAACATGTGGCTATAGTTATGAAACGCAAAAGACCAGTTAGCTCAGAATATATGAATGCCATATCTCTTATACATTATATATATATATATATATATACATATATATATATATATGTATATATATATTAATATGTGCGGTGTTAGACAAATTTGACATTCCAATGAACCTTTAAATAGAAGAAAGTTTGTTTGAAAAAGTTAACGCGAAATAAAAAAATAGATGATAATAATAATAAAAAGTTATGATGAAATCTAATTTTAAAGCGGGGACCTTAGTCAGAACAGGTTCAAAATCCTGGAAAACAGTTGAAAACTTGGTAACTGAAGACTTCTTCGAAGATGGTACGCTGAAGGATTATCAGGAATGCTCAATCAATTACATCAAAGTCATTTCTCTGATAGGAAGCAAAAAAAATTTACAGTTTAAAATAATTTTTCAGCTGGAATACAACAACAATATTGTGAGTTTTTGTTATTATTAATTTTTTTTGTTTAATTTTGTATAAATTTTTGGTTACCATGAGAAGTTAATCTTTTTGGTATTTCTTATTAAGTTAGCATGTCTGGAAATAGATTTTATAAAATACTATGAATGGAAATTAAACTCTGAAATTATAATCCAATGAGATTTTTAAATTTGAAAAGATATCGATGAGCGTTCATTCTGGGCACCCATTTTTTGTTCGTGGCAAAGGTTGGTCGTCGTGCGACCCAAACATGTCCATGTTGTTGTACTCGCTTCAATGCAAACAGATCCAGTGCCAGGACGTTTGCTTGGTGCTGTTAAACTTCAGAAACTACTCGCTGGCGGATGATTGCCTTGAAGAGATGGATGCAAAAAGTAACAACTTACTGGCCGATGATTACTTAGAAAACGTTGATGAGAAAATTAAGAAAAAGATTTGGAGACCTCAGTTGTCTTAACGCTGATCATCAGTTGCATTTTCAATAATATTTGCGGTGAATACATAAAAAATAACTATGCAATTACTTTTTTATCAATAGTTTGCACACAGTAAAAACTGTAATTATATTCCTATTGTTAAATATTCATATACGGCGTCTTTCTACACTGCTATGCGCGTTATATGTTAATGCTATCATATGGCTATTGATATTGGAATAAAATATTAAAGTCAACAATGCAAAATGAATTTATATTATTGCCAACTGGCAATGTCTTTATCAAATCAGTAAAACTAAACTACAAAAAATCAGTTTTTATCAAATCAGTAAAATTAAACTACAAAAAATCTTCTTTGTTCGATCACTTAACAATAGTAACACCAATAATGCCGTTGAAAAGTTTTCACGGTTACTCTCCTAATTACAGTTTAATGCATCAAATAAATATTTAAATTTGAAAAAATTTCAGCCTCAAATTTAATACTAAAAATTTTTTGTCGCGAATAAAACAACAATATTTAAAGAGTTACCCAATTTTCAAAATGTCACGCATGTTTGCAGTGGTATTACACTGTTTGGTTTGAATTAAACTGTTTGTTTTGAATTAATCGTTTTCGGTTATTGTCAGAAAAGTTATGTAAAGTAAAAAAAACGTTGATAAACAATGAAAAGTATTGAACTCTATCGCATATTATTTAGGACAAACACATTATAAAATTGTATCAAATCGTGAAGACGAATATATGATGCTACATAAATGAATATTATCGTTAAAAATCGATTGTCGTTCTTTCATTGCTTGTCAACATACATGCGTGCATGCATACATACGTACATGTATCCATGTATGTCTATGCTGGTGCGTATACGATTTAGTAAACAATGTACGCAATACAATTTGTGTATTTGTCACCGGTCAGCCTTTAATGGTCATTTGATAACGTACACAAATCATGTCATACGATGAAAGACTTGTTGAAGCAATAGACTTGCAGGTCGCGACGGGTCGTTACGAGGTCAAGTTATTGCTGGAGAGCATTTGCTCGTCTAACAATAAAACAACATTACTCGATTGCATATTTCGATTTCAATTCAATGAATGACTTCTGTACATTTTTTTTGATTAAATGCGGTTGTGGTATGATTCAATAATAATAATAATGTTATTCTTTATTAAAAATATTCCGTTAAAATTTATTTATTTGATAAAAAAATATAATAGAAGTATGTCCATTATTTCATAAGTCTGTTTTTATACATACTTATCGACGATTAGATTGCATTCAACGTTATTTATGTTACGTTACAAAGTGGTCATTATTCTTTACATAAACTTTAAAGCATTGAAATTATTTAAAGTGATTTACAAATTTTATTCAGCCGATCAACAAAAGAGCGAATCAGATAGTAGGGTGCTCTTTGGTAGCAAATTGTAAGAAAGCAAAACATTTGATGATTGGGTGTACGATGAACAGTGTTGAAGTGTTGAATGCTCAAATGTTAAGTATTTAAATAATTTGCAACCGTCGATAGCGTCTCACAAACACAAGTTGATTAAATAAAAAAAAGAAGAGAGGACAAATTATTAAAATTGATAGGGAAGTATCATAAAAGTCCATTTCCCTCCAATTAAAAATTTTTCAAGTATTTTAAAACATCACACAAAAAGCATTTATGGTACAGGCGAAGATTCCATTCTGTGTTCAAACCCAGTCACTGCGAACCAGAACAAAGCGCCTTTAACAATTATTTATTTAAGTTTGTCGGTTTTTAGTACTAGATTTGGTACTATAATATTTCAATGTATAAGTAAAGTACTTAATAGTACTTTTGGTTAAATCACCTGCGACAATCATCAGCCACTTGACGATTCACTGCATAAAACAGAATGAATGTGGAACGTCAGTGTGGCTCTTGCTTTTGAGCCAAGTAAATACAAAAAGCACAGCAAAGCAATACGGATGAGCAATTTCAGTAAAAGATTTTTTAAAAATTCGATAGAGGCGCATACATTTTTGTGCGCTGTAACTGAGCGTTCTGCCATTTAGTTGTGTCCATATCTGCATGTGGTTTTAGTTTCTCATGTAAATAATAAATTAAAATCAAATAGAAAGTTATTTTGTAGTTGGTCGCAAACTCGATGGATTTCGTAGAAATATTTCTCGATGAAATCGCTTTGGAAGGATTAGATGGTTGGTTCTTAATTTCCTACTCGTACTATTATATAATAATATAATATAATATTAATAATTGTTTTGCTTGACTGGGTTGCAAGATTTTATTTCCCAAAGAAGTCCAGGGTGTTAGTGGTTTCTTATGAAAAAGAAAATAATTGTAATTTTGAAATGATATTTAGCATAAATTTTGGTTTGGTTAGTGTCAGGGATAAGGAACGTTAGTTGAACAAACATTTGTTGACTTTAGTTTAGTAGATTAGACTAGTTTTTTGATCTGTAAATTTCTTTGACTGACTTTGCTCACTGTTTGTTTTTTAAAACTTACAACTTTGATGACCAAGTGATTTTGTTTCTGATGTGCAAATTTAATAGATTAAGCTACAATTTTTATTTCATTTTGCAATTAATTAGGGCTTTTTAATTTATGGCTTATGCACTAACATTTTATTGCTCTGGCAAATTAGTTTCTGAAAATCAATTGTGAACCTTTTGTGAGATCTTAATTTTTAAAAGTTATAATGGAAACAATGATTTAATTTAACTTAAATTAAAATTTTACTTTTTTTTCTGTAGGCATCACTCTTCCAACATTATGGAAACGAGTGATTTTGAGGCCCAAGAAATTTGACCTCTCATTGGATGACCATTTCAAGACTTACATTTGGAATCACCTACTGATTCGACATAAGGAGCTAGAATTCTTCAAACTGCCCACTCCACGCATTCCATTTGTTTACATCGATAGGTTCAGCTTTAATGATGAGGAAACTGGAGTTTGCATTGAGCAGGTGGGTAGCTTTAGCTTGTCATGGCATATTTATAATTTGTTAATTTTGTCTTCCATTGTTTTGTTCAATATAAAGTTTGGCACTACCATTGTTCAACAGTTTGAAAATGCTGCTAGTCAACATATTTCTAGCAGGAGCATTTTATTATTACATGAAGTTTTCTTAAATATTATCCTTCTTATTGAATAATTAATGAATAACATTTGGATCCAGTTTCTTATTTCCATTTCTTCTTATTTTTTGGAGCACGTTTGCTTCAGGGCCGAGAAGGGCATGCAATTATTATAAGAAGCAACATTCTGACCGGAGAATATTGTCAAGAACGTCAACTTGATTATTTGTAGAATAATGAATAATAATGTTGATGATGATGTTGAAATTTTTTGTTGTCAGGCAAAAACTGAGGATATATACCCCGTAGAGATTGTGCATGAAAGTAAGCTGGGCGTTCGTGGATCCTGTTCCACATTTAAAACTCGAGTGAATGTGACTGATAATGTCAGAAACGGACTGATCACATATAATGAAGTTATTGACAAGTTAGCATTGAGCATATTCATCATTATAATTTAATTTCTTTTTAAACTTTTTTTTCATAATTTATTTATATTTTTGGTTAAAAGGTGAAAGTGGTCATTAGATATGAGCCAAATTTTATAAATTTTGCTTTGTGCAATGCATGCTGTTTAATTTTATTACATATAAGAGAATAATTTTTCAAATAAAATTGCTGACAAAAACATCTTTTTCCAAGTACATGCATTCATATGAATATTTTTTGATGTTTTTTAAGTATTACAATGCGGCAAATGAAACATTTTGATAATTGAAACGTTTTGATAATTGAAACATTTTGCATTACCAAGTTATTCAGAGAGCCTGGTGATTGTGGCATCTCAGAAGCAGAGAAACATTGCACTGCTCGGAGTCGACAACTGCAACTTAAACATCATGAATGTCATTTCAGATGACAAGTTGTACTGCTTTCTTGAAAGAATAGGAAGGTACATATTTCACTATGTCTAATTTTTAATTATTTTTATACGTAAATACCTAAATTGGAAATTTCATTAATAGATTTTACCAATTGCATCAATTTACTTTATTCACATTCATCAAATAATGTCTGACAATTTTTCAACTCATTATCTCTTTCATCTGACTTGGCTTCTTGATATTTTTGATGACCGCTAACTACTTCAGTGTGGGTTAGCTCAACAAACACACTGCACAAACATTGCTTCTCATGTTATTTAGTTTTTTTGGAATAATTTTAAAAGAAACCGTTTTTACTAGCTTGATTTGTTAAGAAAATACAAGTCATAGTGTAATTCATAATCATTATCTTCTATCAGGTCCAGGTGGCAAGGTGCTCTTACATTTGGAAATGCAAGCATCAACACTGCCTTCAACGTTAAACCTGCCAATGCATTTCCTCTGAGGAAGAAATTGAAAAAGTATCAGCTGATAACTGTGCAGGTATTTGTTGTTACTGGAACTTTTTTTATGATCAGATTCTTGTAGTTGTGAAATTTATCCTCTCTTATTTATGATATTTAACTTAGATAGCTTATAACCATTGTTTTTTTTTCTATAGAGACCACAATCATAAAGTGTAAATGTTGATATTTCCAGTTTTTCTGCATGAAACCAGCAATTGGCATCAGTTGTATTTCTGGCAAAGTTCTTCTATTGACTCGTTTCCACGCCGACCACACGCCGATCTACCTGACGCATCTGTCCATGATTTGTTCCATGCTTGCATCTGAGCCTAACAAGACCATGATGCTAGCCACTGCTAAAGAAAAGTTTGCTGGGGTTATTATGTTCAGTTTTTTTTTACAAATTTTTTGCTAAGAAAATTTTTTTTTATATATTATTAACAAAAAGTAAGTTTTTATTCTATTTAACAGCATATTATTAATTATGCTAATTATATTTTAAGTTCAAATAATGTTTTTGTAAAGTTATTAAAATATTAAAATGTTGAACAAACTGTCTCACATTGTTGTTTAACAGCCGAAGAAATGTTATGTATAAAAACTGTTATATTTTTAATGATACATTAAAAGCAAATACCAGAAGAGTTGTTTCGCAAACTTTCGAGACTGGGCAGCAAGTACATCCGCTTAGAATTGAGGCCAATGAGGGAATGGTTTCCGGATGCCCAGCCCAAAGACTACCTAACTAAAGGGTCAGTTTGGTGGAATCGTGGTTCTGTGTTTGTGTTCTTCTTGGTTGTGCGCGTGTCAATGTTCATGATGAATTGTTGTTGTTCTAGGTGACTTTGATGATGTCTGAATGATGTTATTTGATAATTATTGTGTTAGTTATTATTTTTGAGCTACATATCGTACAATTTCATTTTGGTGGCTGTTTTGTTTAAATCGAAATAGAATCAATTTGGTGTCTAATTCAATTTTTTTCAGTAAGGGGCAGGAGAGAATGGTGAAAGTGCTGAGACTGATTCAACCATTTGTAAACCAAGATGATGGTGGTGACGATGATGAGAAGACGATGGGTGACGGTGATGATGAAGATGCTTGTGCCGACATGGACTGCTATGGCATGTTTCCAGATGGTATTCCACTTTCTTGTTTTAATTCAAAAATGTAATATTTACTTTTTAATTTGTTTTAATTCAAAAATGTAATATTTACTTTTTAATTTGAAAAGTTTAATGCTTTGATAGAGAAAATGTTTTTAGATGTCATTTCACTATCATTTAAGACTTAATGTTGTTAACGTTGCAGAATTTAAGTACCCAGTTTACTTGGACCAATCCCAACTTTCAACTTGCTATAGAATGATAGACGAGAGTGGATGGGATGGCGTTAAGGGGTCCGACTTCATCAAACGACTCAACATCGCAATAAATGACTTCAGAACTCTGTGGAGAAATCTCGAGAGGAGGCAGTGCTTTGGATCGATTAAGGTTGAGGAGGGAAAGCACCGGATCAAAAAGTAGGAGTTATGTATTGCTTTGCCTTTGTACATTTGCAATTTTTCACACCACACCTGTTTTTAGTTTCAACAATTTTACTTGGTGGTACTTTTCGATTGGTTGCATTTGTTTGTGCAACAGCTGCAAAGCCACAAAGTTCTCAAATGATGAGTAAAAGTGACTTGATAATAATTTGTACCATGAAATTGTACAATAACATTTTTATTTAAATATTTTCACTTATTACTAATAAACTTCTGTTGAAGGATATGCCTATCCAAGTACAAAAACTTCCATCACAATCAGAAGATTATCATGCCAGATAGGAAGTCTGCCAAATTGGGTTAGAATTCATGTCCTACATTTTCAAGATTATTATCCTTACATGTGGAAGTTGGGATTAAATTTGTTCCATTAACTCATATAGATCAGAGTTTAAAGAGTGCAAGATGCAGTTTGACCACACCTTCACAAAACTCTACATCATCGTTGCTGTGCTCGACTCCCATGATATCCTACCCTCTACCCTCGTCATCTTTCGAACCTTTTGACTCATCAATCGCCCCAACACCTGAAATCTCAAAACAGATCTTAGGAGATCTTAGCATCATCAGTGATGTTATTGATAACTCCATCAATGCAAATGAGCAGAACAACAGACCTGGTGGATCATCAGTTGTGATAAAGTTTGACTGCTCTGATGTAGACACAGAAATTGAAGGAGTGTCTCTTACATCAACATACGATACAGCGCCAACATCAAACGATACTTCCACCATCAAACCCTCATCACTGGCATCGTCCAAAACGACAAACTCAACCACTAATTCAGCAACAGGTCCAGCAGCAGCGACACAATCTCATGATTTGTCTTCTGAGGAGACCAGTGAATACTTACCTCTGTTTACTGGTAGAGTGATTGTGTTGAAATTTTATTACCGTCTTCATAAAAATTTAGTTTCAATCTTCAATTAATGTCCTGGTTATGACATTAAACTGACCCTCACTGCCTTGTGAGGGATGTTGGATCATCAAAGGCTAGGCCCACCGCTTATAACTGTGGTTGCGTAAGGAAGGGCGTCCTGCGTAAAAATTAGCCAAATAAATTACTTATGATGGAATGGCATCGAGGGGTATTTCGGTGTCATCATAGGTAGCCAAACGGCAACCCCCGATCTCGGGGAAAATGTCGTCTAAACGTGTGTTGTTTGTTGTTAATCTTCAATTATTAAAATGTATGCTTCTATAAGGATCGAATTAATTTTCTTATACGGCTGTGCAATTTATTTTCATCTGTATCTCATTTGTTAGCTTTTTCAATTAAAAATTTACATCCAGTTTTCCAGTTTTTTAATGACGTAAAAAGAACCCTCTTTATCGTATGTAGAAATTTCTGAAACCATTATATGTAGACTTCATATCTTTAAAACATAATGTCGAGCAGACAGCACTTCAACACTTCGCAACCTGATGCGTGTCAGGCACATCATGAAGGTCATCCACAGGGAGATAGTTGTTTATGATCTCAATCTATTTAAACAAGTTTGTTGTGCTGCATATCACATCATGTTCATCAGTTAACAATATTTTTTATTCTTTTGTCATGTCTGCTTGTAGAATATGGTGGTAATTTGTTATAATTATAGTCAGTCTATCTTATCTTCGTTATCTCAATAACTTTTAACAATTAATTATGTTAGATCAGTTTTTATCATGTACGACTTCAGTTACTTTATTGTTACTCCATCTAGGAAATCTACAATGCAGAAAATGAAAAATTATTTACGACCAAATCTCTGAAGAGGTTGCTGAAAAAGTTGGCAGACCACAAGAAGATTAAAGTCATAAACAAAACTGTGCCAGAAGGAGAGGTTCAAATCTTTTCTTGTTTTCATCAAATAGCTTTTTCCTTTTTAAAACGACCTGATGTTGTAAGTTTTAAATTAACTTATTTCATTGCTGACACCTAAATTTTTGGTTTTCATTGCTATGCGTTTTCTATAAAATTTGTGGCAGACAAGTTATCTCACTGTTGCAAAAAAAAAATATCGCAAAAAAAAAATTTTTCTTTTTGCAGTTTACATTTTATTGTGACCTGAATGTTGAAGAGGATGGCGAAGAGGTCATGAAAGTTCTTAACTTTCAACTTCTCAAGGATAGAACTGTTTCTGTAAGTTTTTTGTTTGTTTGTGTGTTTGCTTGCTTTTTGTTCATTTATTTATTTGTGTATTTTCTTTTTATCGCTTAATGCTGGTAAACTATTCTTAGTTATTTATAAAAATTTCACTGAAAGTTTTTTTCATTCTTATCACCTCAAGAACTGACAAATAAAATAAATAAAAATCAGGTGATAGATAAATATAAACAGACATATATTTACTTTGCAGTTATCATCAGAAGCTCAAACCAGCCTAACGACAGCTCTTGTTAGTTTATTTTCAAAATATTCTATACTTTCCACTTTCTTTCATTACTCATATATAAAAGAAGGAATAGTTTTACAATTTATTTGATAATTTATTGTAAATATGATATGCTACGGTCAATTGAAACATTTATTAATTGTAAATTATCCTTCACCGTTATGTCATCTTCCAGAAAATTCCACCCCTTGAACATCGTCCGAAGTTTGGAAAGGCTAAAATGGTCCATATTTACCTATGGAGTCTCGTTTATGGCTACAACGTTAATTTAACTTTTTTTTTGACAGCTTTCATTTAGGCAACAAGTCACTTAAATAATAATTGAAAATTACTTCAATGATACTTATCTAACCTTTAAATGAATTGTTATGGATGAGCATGATATTTGTTATTTTTAGGAAAGTTACGACTTTGAAATCCCCGTTTGGCTTAAGCAAGTTCAAAAGATCGATCCACATATCAGTGTGTTTGTTTGTTTGTCGTTTGTTAATTTTAAATTTTATAAAATTTCACTATGACATCAATATAACAAATGTATTTTATAGTCATTAATGCAATTTAGAATGCATAAGATAAAATCAATTCAAAATGGCTAGGATAACTTCCGTCTCATCTGTATTTTCAAATCTATTGATTTGTTTATGAATTTACTTATCTGTTTATTTAACATTATGATTAGGTGGTTATTAATAAATATAACGAAAAATTAGATGCACCTAATGACCTTTGACCCACCAGATCGATCAGTTGGCTGGTGCAGCATGACCGACGCCATCGACAACATGCCTCTATCCGTCTTCATCGAGTCCATCCTGTCCTGTTCGCCCGTACGTTTCAATGCAAACATCACCTTGAACAGTTTTATACTCCTATATTTAAATTTTTGTTGAATTTCATTTTGGAGTACTTCTTATTACATTTCGATTTTTTAAATATCACTTCGTTGTTTGACTGTTTGTTTAAATTTTTCTGAAAACGTATTCAATTTATTTATAATTTTTTGTAAAGTTTGACATAAAAGGCTTAGAGGAGCACACCAGTGACCCTAACAAGTTGCACGCCAAGTTGCACGATATCCCGACTGAGGTTTATAATTATTTAGCATATTTCTATTTTTAACATGACTATTTTTCTAGACTACCATGCTCATGAGACCTGCTCTGATGGTTTTTAAATTTCATGAAATGCAGATCGTGAGGCAGCTAACAAAGGGTCGAAAGTATTTATTCAAGTTTCAGTGCACCTGTGAGGTTCTGATGAAGTTGGGCCTGCTGTCGTTCACTCGATGCGCCCTCGTTAAGAAGGAGGAGGTCCGTGTAGTTGTAGTTGTCCATGTTTCGTTCATTTCAATTGAACAAATTCAATTTACTGCTAGTAACTTAGTGTTATCTCTTTTTTATTTTTCAAATTTTCTTTATGCAGATCTACATGTACGTGCACAAGATGGCCAGCTTGTACGACAACAGTAATTTGACGACATCATCTTCCTTGTTCCCTGTTACAGATGATGAAGGCTGCATGATGTATGATTTTCAGAGCTTGATGGATATTGACAGGTACTGGATGGCCCTACAGACACTCAGTCTTGATGTTAAATCAGGTTGGATGAATCGTATTTATAATGTTTATTGTATTTTACATATATATCAATCAAACAGATCTTTATCATCATTCGATTGATTATATATAATTTTTTTGTTTTCAAAATCTAGTGGCCCCATCGAAACCTTATCAGACAAGAAGCAACTTGAAAGAAAAGTTCAGAGATTTCATAAATGGCAAAGACGTGAGTGAAGTTAGTGATGTAGGATTCTTGCCTGGTGATCGACTCGGTCCTGGTGGAACGGATTCTTCTCTCTTCGCGTATGTTTCTTCTCATCTTCCAGTCACGCTATCATGGATTGTTAATTGCAAGAGCAGAATGAAATTATAAAATTGTTGCATTGAATTTTTTCATGTAGAAATTTGCGACGCAACTGGTCGTTAAACACGGAGAAGCATATGGAGCCTGGCATGTTCACGTTCGGTGGCATCATTGACAGGAAACCAATCATCGATTGTTAGTCTTATTATATCATTGTTTTGTACAGACAGACACTTGTATGAAATGTTGAAAAAAAAGTTGAAGCAGGTGCGGAAGGTGAGAATAGATCAGGGCAAACGTGCAGCAGTGCAGAGACCACGTCGGAGGGTACGTCGAAACGAGGACCAAATGTGGGCACCAAGCAGATCAGGAAAAGAGGATTAGTCTCAGGTTTCCACGGTTTTTTTTATTCCTCACCCATCTAGTGTTTTTCACTAGCATTTATAGTAAATTATCAAGTTTCTTTCTACAACTTTTGTTGTACCCACAGACTCGAAATCGAAACCAAAAGCTAAAAAGTCTAAAACACTACTTGCAACCACAGAAAACATGCATGACGGTTCGTAATGTTAAGAGAATATATAAAAAAGATAAAACTATCATTTCACATTAATGTTCAGCTTCGTTTTTGAATTTTGTTTTAAATGGTTATTATCCACCACTGTTATTATTTTTATTGTTATCAATCGTTAACGGATAGTGACAATAATCAAACATCTCAAACATCAGACTCAGCAGCTGCTCCCCACAGCAAACAAAAGAGAAAGTTGTGCTATGATGAGAAGGATGAGGAGGCCCTGAGGAGAATGACCAGGCAGAGAGTCTCGTGGTCCAGTCAAGAAGATAGAGTGGTCAGTTCAGTTGTTTTACATCTTCTTTCGTCACCTTCATATTTTTCAGTTTTATCATTATTGTTTGTTAATGTCATTCTAATTTTTTTGTAAATTTTTTTATAGGTATTAACTTTGTTGAATATCTGTTGTAGAGATAAAAAAAACAAATAAAATAATCTGGTAGTTATTTATTTTCCAATGAAGAAATCAAATAAAAGAATTAGGCATTTCAATTTTGAGCTAAATTTTTGTAGACATAGAGATACAACTCAAATTCATAAGTGTGGTTTAAAAAAACGCAATTTATTTTCTACATGTTGTATACTGCCATCTTCAGATATTGTTGTGCTCGTTGGCGAACTTGTTCCTGGGCAACACTCTGAAGTGGATTGTTAACAGTACAGTTGTCCGAGATATCCTACACGAACGTCTCGAGGTAACTGCATTCTTTCTAATTTCATCATCTCAACAATTATTCAATTGAATTTTTTTTAAATTGCTAAACTAATTTTATTTTTAAATGATCAGTGTTCAAAAAATAAGACTGCAAAAGCGTGTTTGCGGAGAAAAAATTATTTGCTGAAAAAGGAAAAAGTTCGGAAAAATGTCTGCGTCTACCAAGCAGAGTTGATGCATGACAAGGTCTGCTACCATTCATTTTTTATCATGTTGAGTAATGTAATATTTTTTAGAGTCTTTGAGAGAGCATACAGTTTTTTAGAGTTTAATAATTTAATAGAAATTAATTACCCAAATGTCTGAAATAATCTTTCAATTTACTGTAGGAATTATGCAAGGAATTCAAAGAGAACAAGACGTACAGTATCTACAAAGCCAAAGAGAATGCAGAAGCATACATTGCCTGTTTTTGCAAGCTGGAAATAAAATTTGGGTATGGTCGATTAATTGTAGTAGTATTACTAAACTAGCCTATTGTTTGGTTCATTTCAAATGGTGACTCATAGCAACCTGTTAGAACTACGTGTTTGAAGATGCGTGAAAGTGAATGAGGAGATGAGATTTTGTTACAACAAATTATTACCAGAATAACTTCTAAGGAGTGGAGATATAAGTTGTTCTCTGATGGAGAGTAGTTAACTTGGCTCGCCGTAATAATTTAATAACTTTTCATACACTTACTTTATTAGCTTATTTTGATATTCACTGAACCTAATTTGTATGCAGTTTTTATTGTTAATTTAAAAACTTGCAATCTAACCAAAGGTACAACACACCCGAGAACTTGCTGGAACAATATTCGATGCAACTTCCAGACACCATAGAGGAACTTTGCAGCAAATATTCAATCTTCCACCCCTCCTTGGATGTTGGGAAATCTCCGAAAGAAATCGACCGAGGGGACCACGTACTCTTTTCCACGCTGCAGAATCTCGTTCATGTTAGTGCTTACCATGTGTAGAAGAATTATCAAACGAAAACGTCGTTGATTAGATTCAAAAGCTTTTTAGACATTTTTTTCAGTAGTTTAAATAACTAATTTTATTATATTTGAACTCTCGGTGCCACATATTTTATCAGTAAACTGCACATTCATCAATCCACACCGACAGTCCATTTCACTGCTGACGGATAAGACAGGCAGAGCTCACGAGTTGTACCAAATGCTCAGTGGATACTCGTCCAAGGTGCTAACCCCTGTCTTCAAGCACATGATCGCTATGGGCATATTCACCAGGTTCAGGGTTAGTCAGATTGGTTTCGTTGAAATGAATGCATTTTGCTCGAAAAGTGTCGGTAATTAATTTTTTCATCTATGGAATACCAAACGTGATTTTCATTTTCATCATTCTGTTTGTTTGTTGAAAGTATTTCTATCAGTTTTTAAATTTCTTTGTGACAGCCTCACAAGAACGTGAACGCCAACAAAGTGGTAGAGCATCAAAATATTGGATGCTATCAACTCTCTCAAAGGTTTTTTGTTGTAGCTATTAATTGGGCTTGGTTTTTTTTTCATTCATAACGATCTCTAAATGTTTATGCAGTGTTTTGTGAGTTATATCATCTACATTTTGATAGTTATATAGTATTCATTGATAGTTTTGATTACTACTCATTGATAGTAATCTACTTTTATATCAATTATGTCTACTCATAGATATATTTTATATTATTATATTGAATTGGATTTTCTCCATGAAGCCATTAATTTATAATTATTCGAATCTCATTTGCCATCTGAAGGTACCAATATATCTGGCTGACGGTTTACCCCAAAAATGTTTTTCAAAAAGCTTATGACTTCCATGCATCTTTTGAACCTAGAACTCACGACCCGTGCCATGGGTCAAAGTTCATGAACCTGCTAGCTCATTCCTCGTCGTCCATTGGGTTGTGTAGTCTTCTTGGCTTGAATTTGGTGAGTTGATGTTTTGTTTTTTTTTGTTTTTTGCTCTAACGATTCTACAGAAATATGGCCAAACACTTTTTCAATTTAAATTTACTTTTAGAACTTCTCACATTAGCCTAATAAATTGTTCGGTCGTTAAAGTTTTCAAATTTGTAAATTAGGAATTATTACGCATTGTCAATTAAATTAAATTTAATACATTGATTTGATATTGCTGGTGCAGGATATAAAGGTGAAAGTTACAGTGCCGGCAGAAATTGTGGTCATTGATTCAATGGAGCAGAATGAAAATGAATTGCAAAATAATGCAATTAAATTGAACAGACCAAAAAATAATAAAGATAATGATGAGAATGATGATGATGAGTACTGCAATGATGATGAAGATGAAGATGACGCTGATATGCAGGATATAAAGTGTATGTTTACATCATTTTTCTTTCTTAGTTGAAGCTTCTTCTATGTTGCTTCACTTTACCGCATTCCTAGATTGATTCCTGTAAATTATACTAATAAATTGTAATGTCTAAAATTGAAACATGCGCGAATAACTCTTTCAATGAATTAATTCTTCATCAGTTTCAACTGGAAACTCTCGTACCTTCCTTTATTGGTATCGTTGTCAGTACACACACAGCAAGACGTCAAAATTCATTGACGCCAACAACAGCATATTCATCAACGCCTGCCAAGTAAAAGTAAAGTTGCCACCAGACTACCAAACCGTTTTTCACAGTGATCACAAAGTCTCATGGGGTAAGAATCGTGAGATGTCTTCACTTCAATCTGACGCTCTTTTGATAATTATCATGAATTCTTTCGCACAAATTAATCTTTAACTTTATCTGCTGACAAATATGATTTTTTGGCTGTTAAATTTTGAAATATACAATGTTTATAAATTGGCTGAACATATTAAAGCGAGTCGGGTGATAGGAATTGAAGTTATGATGATAATTGCTAACAGTATGTTTGATGATGAAGGTATACCTGAGGATTGGCGACACAGTGTGTTGGTGCCGTTGTATAAGGGCAAAGGAGATGTGAGAGATTGTGGGTCATACAGGGGTGTGAAATTACTAGAGCACGGAATGAAGGTAGTGGAGAGGGTGCTTGAGAGGAGGTTGAGAAGTATGGTGACAGTTAATGAAATGCAGTGTGGGTTTATGCCTGGTAGGGGAACGGTGGATGCGTTGTTCATGGCGAGAATGTTGCAGGAGAATTATAGAAAGAAGAAACGAAGATTGTACATGTGTTTTGTGGATCTAGAAAAGGCTTTTGATCGAGTACCGAGGAAGGTCATTGAATGGGCGTTGAGGAAGAAAGGAGTGAATGAGAGACTTGTTAAAGCTGTGATGCAGCTGTATGAAGGGGCAAAGACAAAGGTGAGGGTTGGAAGGGGGATGTCGGACGCTTTTAGTGTTAAGGTAGGAGTGCATCAAGGATCAGTGTTATCACCGTTTCTGTTTGCAATTGTGATGGATGTTGTGTGTGGAAACATAATGGAGGGGTTGTTATTTGAGATTTTGTATGCAGATGATTTAGTCTTGATGGCTGATAGCATGGAAGAATTGCAGTTAAAATTTGACAGATGGAAAAGTGTTATTGAAAAG